CTTCAGATACACTAATTTACAAAAACTTCTTCTCCTGTAGAATATGACTATGACTTTTTCTTTGTCTTCAAGTATGGCAGTGAATTAATGGACCAGTTAAAAAAATCACTTCCTATGAAGTATTTTCAGGATTTTTTTTTTTTCTTCTTAACAATCATGTAAGCTGTTTTTTTTCTGAGAAGAGGTTGCCTCATTTTTCCTATTTACAGAGAAAAGGTTTTCCTGGTACCAATTAGCAGAAGGGATTTTTACATAACTTTAAGCAAGTAACTTTAAGCTAACTTTGAAATTAAAATTTACTCTGCAACTGGTGTTACTGTTTTACGTAGTCCACGGAACATACAAAGAGAGGAGTACAATGTCGCAAGTGCTGACCATGAAACTACAAAAGAGAAAGTTTACTGCATAATTACATTTACAGTTATGTACACTTCTGTTGGTTTTGCTGCAGTTTTTAACATTTTTCATCCCATAAGACATGGTAGAACTTTTGTCATTCACTCTTCACAATTTCCTTTGCTCTCCCAGGTACAGGATGCAGGGTAAGTTAGTGACATTGTAAGAGATGGCTTTATTGTGTGCTTTATAACCTAAAAAATAAGAGAAGTTTACTCATCTACTCATTACAGAAACAGCAGTCTATTCCAACTGCATTAATGCAATACAAATATTTGGCATAAATTTAGGTGTTTTAACTCTGGTCTCTAGGGATGCAAATCATAAATATTCATACATGTGGCTACTCTCGGAAAGGGGCTTTAGCTTTTCCTTTCAAGTAATTCCACTGCAAAATTCTTTGCTGCTTCATTTCTTGTATTTTCTGAGCTGACAATTTTAACAAACAAACTTATATTACAATCCACCAAATTGAAAGGATTTGTGGGACCCTAAAAATTACTGTTAAACAAAAATATTTGGGGGGGAAGGGGAGAGATCACCAAATTTACATATTTTCTTACCAAAGAATGTAATTCTAGAAATATTTTTTTCATGTCTACTGCTGTGGATTCTTTGCATTAGATTTCTTCTTATCCTGAAGTACATATAAATGTTGTGCTCTCATGAAGCCCTTCAGTAGACCTTTTATGCAAGATAAACAGACAAATTACATTTCAGTCTCACCTGACATCCTCATGCATTCTACACTTATTTTCTTTTTTGGAACAAAGGCTCAATGGAATTTCTGCAACCTTTATAACAATATTAAATTTAACTTTAAATGAACTAATCTCTGAAAGACAGACTCATAGGTCCCAGTTTTCAAGAAGTATCACAGACATTTAAAACCTACAAAAGTTTTGTTCACTTGGTTTGGCAGAGGTTGAGAGGGGTAAGTCTATAAAAATGTTCATTATTTCAGAGGTAAAATCTCTCCTAGAGCAGAGCAAGTTGCCAATCGGCAAATAGAATGTTATCTTTCAGTAGCTCTTAGGTAAATATATCTCTTACTAATTTTCTTTGTTATTTTACCCTATCAGCAACATTTAGTTCCTACCTATTTTGCCAGTATCTACTACTACTGGCAGAAGCCTGGAAAAGTTAGCAAGACAACAAATATAGGCTTTATACATAGTAACTCATGAATCCAAAAAACATTTCTACCAGATTAATTATTTTCTAGTGTCTGAACAGTATGTGCCATTGTCATAAACTCTAAGTATAGCTTGCTAGAAAACAACCCTGCTATGTACAGTTGCTTCCCATTAATAGAACCAACAGAAAATATATTTGGAAGTTCTAGCACAATGCTAGATGGCAATTGTAGTTGGGTATGGCAAACACTTTTTTCAAATGTTTGTTGCGTTCCCTGGCTAGCCTACAACTGCTAAAGTCCACCCCATCCCACTGAACCATTACTTTGGCTGATCATAAGAATCCCAGGCTGAAGCTAATCTTGTGAGACACACTTTAGCTCAGGAGTCCAAAACCAAGAGTGAACCATAAGCAGAATTCTTATTGAGGCATGGAAGCTGCACTTTGTACTTTTGGAGGGAGTTGAAGATTATTCTATAGTGTTTAAGGTTTTATACTTAACATATATAGGGAAAAACTTGGTATGTCAAAAAATCATAGAGCTCTGCTGGGAAAAAACTGCTTATAAAATAAAAATGAGTATGAGTTTATTATGTGAGTATGTCTGCTTTTATGCATTACTAAATCTATCATTATCCTTGAGCTTAGGGTTAAATGTGAAGTAAAAGAGAAAGCAAGGAAAAACAGCTGTCTGAACATGCTCAAGAAATCCTGTATACCCAGCTGATGCTTAACCCTCCTAAGCTGAGGCATATTACTAACACTTGAGTTCCTATAGCCATTAGATCTTCCCTTTTAAAACCTAAAATATCATATGTGAAATAAATGTGATCTAGACTAAAAAGACTTGCGACACATGCAGCCAAGAATAAAAATGTAAAAAAACCACAAAACCTGAACAGGTTTTTTGTGAACTGTGGAAGTATACCTACTGAAAGGATACATTCAAAAAATACAGACCTTCCTAATAAAGACAGAAAATTCAGCTTCCATATGTCACTTAAGCAATACAATTTAAAAATAAAATAATTTTAAAATAGAAGAATATATAAAATATATGTTACATGTACATGTCAAAGAATGAACAAAAAATTAAACAAGATACTTTTGCATTTGATGCAGCCATCTACTAAGCTATTAAATACTAGTGCTGGTTTTGGCTGGGGTAAAGTTTGTTTTCTTCCCAGTGGCTGGTGTGGGGCTGTTTTGGATTTGTGCTGAGCACAGGGTTGATAACTTAGAGGTGTTTTTGTTATTGCTGAGCAGGACTTGCACAGAGCCAAGGCCCTTTCTGCTTTCCATACTGCCACGCTGGCAAGGAATGGGGGGGGGTGGGGTGCTTGGGAGGAGACCAAGCCAGGACAAGTGACCCCAAATGACCAAGGGATATTCCAGACCACATGACATCATGGCTCAGTAAATAAAGTGTGAGGAAGAAGGAGGAAGAGGAGGGACCTTTGGAGTGATAGTGTTTGTCTTCCCAAGTCACTGTTACATGTGATGGGGCACTGCTCTTCTGGGGATGGCTGAACATCTGGCTGCCCAAGGGAAGCAGTGAATTAATTTCTTGTTTAGTTTTGCTTATGCGCATGGCTTCTGCTTTTCCTATTAAACTGTCTTTATCTCAACCCATGAGTTTTCCAGCTTTTACTCTAAATTCTCTCCCCACTGCTGCTGGTAGGGGAGTGAGCAAGTGGATGTGTGGGGTTTGGCTGCTGGCTGGGGTTAAACCAGGACAACTGGATAGAGAAAAAGATGGCATGCCTCTTCCCAGAGAAATGACAACACATAACAGAAGTCACAGGAGTGAACTCTGAGAAACTGCTGAACTAGTCCTCCCCCTCAAGAGACAAAGACAAGAATCCCCAGGCTGAGCCAGGAGCATTCAACAGCAGCAAGGGATTTGCTGACATTCCCCAGGAGTCTCAGCCACCTTACAATTCACTCCTGCACATCAGGACTGGATTCCTTCTGCCCCAACAATCACCAAACCTGATACTTCTTTGTAACTGCTAATGCTGTGCATCTGTTTATGCCATATCACAGGGTCATTCTGTCACTAAAGAGCCTAGAAACTGATATGAGAAAGTAGCAATAAGATTATATTTATCTACAGGAAATAAAGTTTTAAGCTGATGAAAGTCAAAGAAAACTTGAAAATATCATAGATCAAGAAAGAAACAAAACCTCACAGCGTAAACAACCATTTCAAATAAGCCAGTTCTCTGATGGTATATCTAACTCCATTACCACAACTTTCAAGAAAATACAAGTAGGGACTGATACAAGGACAAGAGGGTGAGAGTATGCATATGTAGTGTTTTCAGTTATCTAGATAAGATCCCCAAGGAGAAAAGAAACAAAGAAAGAAATAAATCAAATAAGTAAAGTCATTCTAACCATACATGTTACACTGGATAACTTTCAAGATTAAAGGTATTTTCTTCTCTTTCTCCACTTTGATGCAGTCTAAATGGGTAGTGCATGTAGCAAGATTTTCCAACTACCTTGCAAGCAATGCAGTTTGCATGTTCTCCCAGCATTACACCACAACAGTTGAGTACACAAGCCAAGTAAGTGTTCCTACAAGCTACAAGTACAATTAAGGGACGCCTTTTAAAAGCATGTCCCTCAGCACAATGATGTGTGAGACAATTTAAACAATTACTGTGGTAATAAAAGGCAGAAAAGACAAGATTATCATATCAGATGCCAGGGGAATACAAAAGGTGAAAATAATCTAATTTTACACATAAAGCAAAACTAAAAAAAAATATTTGGGGCTTAATACAGAACATGTCATAACAGATAAATTCCTTGTTAACATATTTCCTTTAATATCTTCTCTTAGATTTTACAAGTTTCTGACTAAGCCTGGTTTTTAACTGGGAAGAAAGTTTCACTAAAGCTCCAGTCACAAAAATAAGATCAGACAACCTAGATAATCCTAATTCATCACAGACAAGGGTCACCATCCCATATTCACCATCAGTCTGTCACGGTCCTACACTTCAAGCCTGAGCTGGTATTGTGCTAGACATCATGATTGTTGTTAGAATATTGACTTTTAGTACATATCCCACCTTAGCCTCAAGTCCTCTGAGGCCAAGCTTTGGCAAGATCATCCTGACATCCTGACTTCATCCAGATATCTTTTATGAAACACTGACAGCACTTACTGCAGTCCAGTTTATTGGAATAGCCCGCATTTATCCTGATCACATCCTACTCTTTGTATAGAATGACACCTGTGAAACTGAAGTCAATTTTAGATAACAGATCAGAAGCTGAAAGCTGTATCTTCAGATCAAGCAAGAAAATCTTGTAAAGGAACAAGAAAGAAATTGACTTTGTCAAATACAGTTTCACAACATCAGAAGCAACAGAAGGTAAATTTAGATGGTGCCTACAAAATATGGGGTGAGGGGGGGAGGGAGACAATGAAATTATGGGTAAAATGAACTTACTTGATTTTACTGAAGACAATGTCAACATCTGTGGTTGTCACATTCTTCCCATCTATGATATGGCAGTCCTTACATAGCTTTGACCAGTTCTTCCCATGCATTTCTTTTCCTGTAGCTCTCGTATCACCATGGATGGCAAATTTTCTAAAGGCCTCTTCCAGAGCACTTATCTCTCCTGCCGCAGCTCCCTCAGAGTTTGAATCAGATAATCTTTTTGCTGGTTTTGCTGATTTGTCAGCCATTGTGCTACAAAGAAAAGGAGCGTAAACTTATTACATTAATTTGCACTAGATTACTTTCAATCTACATGCTAGAATCCATGTCACAACATACAAAGTCCATATGAAGAATAAACGGTCTGTAAAGTTAGCAAGAACTCACTACCCTCCACCATCAGTCTAAGCAGATAACTATGTAACTCTCTGCCCATCTGGGGAAAAAATTCTAGTACATTAAAAATTAAAAAAATAAATATAAAAAAAAAAAAAAGGAGGGCAAGAAACCAGGGACACAAAACTAGTTACACCATCATTACATCAGCCATCAAAAGAATACTTAGTATTTGTTCCTTTTTTTTTTCTTAAATAGCAATCATCACAGTCACTCTGTTGATTTGAATAGAAGTATGTTCTTTAAACCACAGGCATTACTATGTACTTGTATTTCTGAAGGAAAAATAAACATCACTCTGTTTTCTGGACTTTAGCTTTTAGTTTGTTTTTTTTTTTTTTAACTGAAAAATCGAGTACTTCTGAAATGCAGTAAAAATATTAATGTTAGAACCCTTACGTTACATTATGTAAGGGCTAACAAGTACATGATAAGTCTCTCTTGTTATCCAGACCATTTATTTCTCAAGTTTATGTCCAAAGAACTGTAGCTGTGGAATTCATTTGGAATGAACATATCCATGACAGAGGCATACTGAGAAGGGATGTCATTACTGCAGACAAGAACTTTCTTGACTACTCCAAGTACATATAGTATAGGTTTGCCTTTTAAATGAAACCTTAACTGAACAACAGGATACTATTTTCAGGTCTCTTCATAAAAAAAACCAAATCATGAAGTGTTAGAAGCATGTCACAGAAACCTCATGCACTCTTGGCATGGCAGAAGTAGGAGGCACTTAAGAGCCTAGGCACAAGGTACACTGTCTGCCTGCCCCAACAGCTGCACACAGACTGTTGCCACAGTCACATCGGTGCTGCTGCTACAAAGTTTTAACCCACAAAGATATGGTTCAAGCGTCAGAAATCTGCAAATGATAGATGGGGGCTGGAAAGCCAGTCATACTCACCTACCCGTTCTTCCAAAGTCCCAGCTGTATGTAAGACATGATTAATGCATGTAGAGATTGGTAGGTATTTCTAGTTAAGGTTTTATTTCTTCATCAGATAGGAAGTTCTTTTGGTTTATATACTGTACATCAGTACAAATGGCTCAGCAAGGGAGAGTTTTAAAATTCTACCTCTATCCTATATTGTTTAAACTCTGTCACTCAAACAAGCAAGACATACCCTTTCCTGCACACTGTAACAGAACTAACCATAACTATTTGCTACGCAGCAGTTATTGCTAAGCTTTTAAATTAGAAAGAATCTTTTGATTAAAAACATACTAAAAGGACTTTTGTCCTTCACACTTGAGCAAACATAGCATGGCCAAAGAACTATTGCCTCTTTTGAAAACACTCACGTAAATGCTTAAATCCCTTGCCATATACTAAGCCTGGGCATCCTTCTGTTTTGTTTACACAGCCAGCACAAGTTTTGGTCAACAAACCAAAATGCTAAATTATAATTAATATGACATAAATTTACTACCTGTAGCCTGAGAACTGTATGTGCATCTATGAAATAAAAAGAGAAGTACAGAAGGGAAAAAATAGTTTGAAAATAGCAAGTTCATTAAAGAGTTTAAAAAGTAACCAATTCCCATTTCTATTTCCTTTGCATTTTACCTCAGAAGACTGATCTGAAAGTATCCCAACACTGAAACTCCAAAACAAAAACCATGCACAGTAAATTGCAAGCTACTACAAACATTACAGATACATATATATTTACTAAATTTTGTCTAGATCAAATCTTCTGTTTCATCAGGCTACATTCTTTTGCTACCAAAACAGTAGTAAGAAAAAAACCAAAAAATACTATTGACACAATATATGCAAAGAGTATTTCATTAAAAATCAGATCATGAAGATCTGTAATGTACCTCTATATTCAAGGAAGCCTGACTTCCAAAAGCAGAAGTCTCATCCAAGTTTGTACCATTTCAAATCAACTGGAGCTGGACTATAGAGACAGAAATTTTCCAAGCTAATACTAACTGGCTAGAGAAAGAGAGTACAGATCAGCAAAAAACAAAGTCTCTGCAGCATATTAAAAAACAAAGTTACCTTCATATGCAAGAAATGGGACAGGACAAGGTGGGAATTTGCCATGGCAAGGTATGTATGGTTTGCATCAAATCGTAATTTTATCTTTTGGCAAATAAACTTTCTAAGAAATGTTCAAAGATAGCTCCTTCTTGCTCTTAGCAATTCTCTTAAGAAGTCATACTCAGAGTAAGTATCTTTAAAAGATAGAACAATAGCACAGTTTACAAGCTATAAACAAGAAAACACCCACGCAACTCTGTCTCATCTGAAATTGGAGAACATAACTATGTGCCTACATTTTTAAGTTTCTCCTGAACAAAATCTTTCCTTAGCCAGTGTCAGTACCTCGCTGGCCAATTTTCCTTAATGATTTTTTGCCTATAACCATATCTCAACTTTGCACAGCACAGCAAAATCATGTTTTACTATCTTATACAGTCTTTAATATGATAGCTGTATTAACTGAAAAGATTTCTTACCTTCTGTAGTTAATAAATTTCAACTTTACAAATAAATTTAAACTTTATAGACCTGTTATAGGAAAAATGCTCAAAGGAACATAATTGGCCTTCAGAAAGGTAGTTTCCAGACTTACTTCTCTCACTTATTAATAAATGGACTTTGTGTTGGGGTGGTTTGAGTAGTTCTGGATCAGGCAGAGCAGACACTACAGAAAAGGCATTAGTTTTGAATGGTGAAATCTGGTATGCAAAACAGACTCATTTCAAATAAATCCTTGCCATCTAAAGCAGAAAGTCAAGGAGAGATTAAAACCAGGGCTGTGCAGTGGTTGCCAAATATTATCATGGACACTCCTTGTTGAATCATAATTACAGTTTACTTGTTAAAATCCTATGTAATAGCATTAAACGTATTAAAAAGAAGCTACCTGGATTTATGAAAAAAATATCTAGTCTCAATTTAAACTTTTATTTCTAAACACTATAAACAACACAGTGTGAAGAGAACTGTATTTATTAACATACTGTAATTAGAAGGTAAAGAACTGCACAACACAGGATGTGAAATTAGACTTTGAATGGGCTAGCTCTTTTAACTTTTTTTTGTGATTAAAGATAAGGAAGGAGATCATGTCACGTTGAAGAAATGTTCTCTCAAATGGAAATGAAGCATAACCTATTTGACAAAAATTCAAGATCAAATGCTGCTTTGAGTCTTCCTTACCCTTTTTCCTGGACAAAGGAATACAAAGGAGCTTGGTAGAGTCTTCTAGAAGTAAAGATTAGGAGTAATTTGGGGCAGGGCCATAGCAAGATGATTGGTCAAAGACGAAAGAAAGTGATTACAATACCAAATCTAAAATTCAGTACGACAAAATTAAGCCACTGATCAAAAGCATGAGCTGTGTAGATGCCGACTACAATTACAGCTAACCAAAGAAATGCCTTTCATCACTATCCAAAAAGTCTAATATGTACACAATTGCACGATACAAATTTCCACAGCCAGCAGAAAGAAGGAAGGTGGGACTAACCACCAATACAATTCTTTCCAAATACTGCATGCTCCAACCAATCAGGTCCACATCATCAAAAGCAGCCAGATAAGAAAGAGGTACAAGCAGATGCTAGAGTTTAGGAGGTTTATGAAATAACAACTATCCCCCAAAAAAATGGAGTTTCAGAAACCCACAGAAAACTTAGACAGTCAGGTGTAGTGTTATAAACTGCTGTAGTCTGTGTCCTTTGGTAACATGAAAAAACAGTCTTGTCCCGTCCCTCACTTTGCAATAGGTAAATAATACAGTACATTACACAGAGATTAAGCCAGGGATCAAACTAACTCATGTTAACTGATGTCAGCCACTGACTTGATGACTATCTTATGCTAAGTAGACTGAAAGTGCAGATCTGTGTTCTCAGCACATGCCTAACCCACTAGAAAAAGTTTTCTAATATCAAACTTCCTTTTAGCCAGAGACTAGAATATATACTCATCTGCAGACAAACAGCTGGGAGACCTCCACTATATAAAGGCACTTATTAACCTGGATTCTTCAAAAAAGATGGGACAAGGAGTTACTGTTTCTGTGAATTTCAGTTGTCAATTTCTAGAGCTGTGTGAATACCCAAAGCCTCAGTACTGACCAAATGCCAACTCCACTGAAGGATTTATATTAATTTACACTCCTTCACTTATCCACACCCACTCTAGGTGTCAAAAATTGCAGGAATTCTGGTTTAGCACTAGATTTGTGGGAATTTGTGGGAATTGCTCTTAGAAGCAATCTATCTCTCAGCAGCAAGGAAGACTTACTGAATCCCAGAGTATTTTTTCCAATAAATTCAGAAGCTTATGCAACTCTTTGAATATGCATGTATCCTACCAGGTCAGAATGCACAACAACAACTTTCCTGCCCTGACCCTGACAACTAATTCATGGCTTATTTGCTCAGCAGAAAGCTTAGTATTTGTAACACAAGTTATCATCGCTGCCAGGCCACAATTAGGGCAACCAAAGGAGAGGGATGAAGAAACACGTCTGTTCTGCTGCCAGCATTCAGAACATCATGAGCACCCTGGGACCCATATCCTACACTACTTTAATTATTAAGGTCACATAAAGCAGATATGTGAGTACAATGACTACTCTAAGAACCAATGTTCTCTGACTTGATAAAGGAAATAAAAATACAGTCTCACTAGCTGCAAATCTATTAAAGCCCTTTAGGATCTCCACATCAAAAAACTGTTTTCTACATACATATAAAGCAGGGTACAAAAATCTCAATGCCTATTTTTTTTGGCTATACCATGTACTTTTTCATCTGCTTAGTCTAGCTCACCTCTAATAGCTTTCATTTGCATCAAGTTTTAAACAATGTCAAAAAGCAGTTTTAA